GGATTGAACTCAGGACCTCATGCTTGCCAGGCAGGCACTTAAGCCGCTGAGCTATATCTGCAGCCCCTAGCCTTTGCCCTTGCGTGGGGCCTACCTAGTGTGCCCTCCTTGGGCCCACTAATGAAGATCTAATCTTGTCCTGTCTCTGCTCTGGTCCGTTTGTGCACCTTCCATCTGGCAGCCTTAACATAGCTTTAATGTCGTGTTCTTTTGCATGTTATCTGTCTGAACCTAATCTGGCAGCACATGGGCAGCTTCAGTTCTGTTCCCTGGAGTGGTTCATCAGTGAGCAGGTCCAGTTCTCCTCCTCCTCCTCTTCTCTTGAGGCCAGTCACTTCTCTACATCTTCAGCTAACTATTATATGCCACTCTGTGGTCCTGTTTTGCCTGTAGTTGTGCAGTAACTTACCCTAAACCCACTCTTGGTTCCTGGTAATATGTTCTTCTCCAAACAAGAGTAATAATACTCAAAATGGGGCTTTTATTCACAAGGTAGGAGGCAGGTGAATATCATTAGAACACTTGTAGTGATGACCTTGTTCAGAATCACGTAGCCCTCATGATATCCTCATTGTGATTTTGTATGGTAGCTTTATAAGATGTCACCGGTTGGAGAAAGTGGGTAGAAGGTACACAGGGATTCTGCATCTCCATTTATCTCAATAGAATTTGAGGGGGAGGGGCTTTCAACAGAGGTTGTATAAACTTGTTTAAAACTTGTGTACTTTCCTGCTCTTACGTGGATAAGGACTAAGGACTGTAATATGGTCTTCTGTGTCTAGGACCATCTGGCCTGCCTCTCTGCCCTGTTAATTTGATACCAGTTTGTCACCACTTGTCTGCATTCCAGACACAATGATTCTTCACATATCACGCTCTTTTTACAATTATGCTTTCTTCTTTTACCCAAAGGTTATATTTCATATCTTCTGATTAATTCCATCGTGTCCTCCCCTTATGTGTATCAACTCCATTTTCACTTCTGAGAAGCCATTCATGATTCTCCAGACTGAGGTTTCTTCTTTTAGGAGTTCACAAAATAATGATCCCTTTAGAGCAGTCATAACTTGTTGCCATGCATTTTTTTTTAAATTTTACTTATTTATGTGTGTGTGTGTGTGTGTGTGTGTGTGGCCAGCTCAGCCCACCAGGGGGCGGGGCTGGCTGGCATGTGGTGCTGGGGGATTGAACCGCGGTCCCTGTGCTTTGCTAAGCTTGTTCTAAGTAGGTGCTTGAGACCACTGAGCCATCTCACCAGCCCCGCCATGCATTTTTTATGTTGTCCTTTAATTCATATTTGTCTCTTTCAGGAATTCGCAGGGGGCTGGCTCTTTGTCCCCAGCGTGTGGTACAGTGGGTAATGAACACATGTGACATGATAGACACTGTCTTTCTGTCAGTTCTTGCCCTATTATTGCATTACAATCAACTTGTGAGGTTAAAAAGAAAAAAAAAAATACAGGCGTTACGCTTGAAATTTGTATACCTAGGACCTACCACACACACCAGCATTGAGTTCCCAGATGAGGAAGACCCACAAAAAGCCTTACGCTGTAGAAGTCCGAAAAGGGACATACATTTTTGGCAAACTTTTCTGCAGTTTTCAAGCATTCTTCTTTAGTGAAAGCCCACTGTTCCAATAGTCAGAAGTAACTATTTTTATTCTATTCTTGCTGAGAGCTTAGGATTAAGTTTTATTTGCAGTAGTATGGTAATTCTGCTTTGTTCATTTGCTTTAAGAAGTTATTAAGATGTGTTCTTTTATAGGGGCAGAACTACCAGGGCAAGTAATCTCCATGGCAGCGTCCACTCTGGCGAACCTGGCCATCTCCATCACGGGGTACGAGTCCAGTGGTGAGGACCAGCCCTCCGCCCAGCCTGCAGGTGAGTTGCGTCACGGACGCGTTCTGCGTTCTGTAAAACAACATATAAAGTGCATAGAATCAGGAAGTGAGCTAACATCATAAAATACTGCTTAGTCTTACTGGCCCTTCATTTTTCTCCCTGATTATTTTTTTTTCCTTGTCTTTGATCTCATATTACTTTTTCATATGTTTTATTTCTTGGGTTTCTTATCTTGGTTCTTTTAAAAATACTTTTAAAATTCTTTTATTCTTTTGTAGTATTTTTCTTTTCACAGTCTCCTTCCCATTTTAAGCTTTCCTTATCTTGGTTTCTTATTTTCCATTTCTCTACAACTGTTGGCTCCCCTGGATTATTTTATTTTGTCTCTTTTTATTGCTTTTCTGTTGCTCTCTACCCTGCCTTTTTACAAGGGAACAGCAACCTTTACCCCATTTTTTGGTTGTTTCTTTTGTATTTCCTTTGAAAGTTTGATTTGCATGCTTCACACTATGTATATTGACTATTTCCCTAAAACTCCTCTAGTTGTGTTGTGTATCCTGGTTTTTATAGTTGTAGGCCCCTGTGGGATGCAGCCAGTAGATTTATACCAGCTTTCCATAGAGTTCAAGGAATGTGAATGACTGTCTTGAATTGTGCTGAGGTAGCCATTAGTGCCAGAAGTATTTAGGGTTGGGGAATATTTATAGTGAACTTTTCCTAAAAAAATTGATTTGAGACATGTCTTAAAGGAAGGGATCATCTAGGAGAAAAAAAAGGCATTGGAATAGAGGGAGCGCTTATATTTGCATTTGCATTGTTTCAAAAATGGAAGGAGAGGGGACTGGGGAGATGACTCAGTAGAATAAGTGTGTTTCTGGGTAAGTGCAAGGGCCTGAGTTCAATCCCTGGTTCTGCCAAAAAAAAAAAAAAGAAAAAGGAAAGAGTTTGATCTTTAGGTTATGGAGTTATTCTTATAATATCTGCCACACTGAAAAACATGTACTTTCAATATTAGAAAGATACTCAGCAAAATCAAACAAATATGACCAGCTGGACCTTTATTCTCAGCCCTCAGGGTAGAATGTTCTAGTGAGATAAGCTGACTTAACATTATGTAGGGTGGTATCTCAGCAGTAAAACTTAGAGCTAACCATTTAACATTCAAAGAAACACTAAGGAATTTATGATATAGCACCTAGTGAGCTGCTGTGGGGCTGTTTGAAAATTAGTCATCCATTCAGCAGCCGTTTAGTGTTTGTACTACTCTGTGGGCCAGCAATTCAGTGGGGGGGAGAATAAGACAGACAAGGTCTTAGCCTTGTTTCTTAAGCCAATTTTATTCTGAAGGGAGAAGGTGGAAAAGGGTAAGTAGAACATCATATAGTTCTGTGGAACTGAGTAAAAGATAGGGCAAATAGCCTCCCGTTTATTTGCTATTCATTTCTTTTCTCTTTTTTCTAGACTTTCTGAAATATACTATAGTTTTGTAATTAACTTTAGTTGAATGACAGGCAAAGTATAAGCTTTAGGCTCTTAATTATTTCTATTGTCAAGGTGTGTGTAGAATAATATTCCCTTAAGAGTTATGATTTCAGGGTTGGGGAGATGGCTCAGTGGAATAAGCACTTCCCTGGCAAGCGCAAGGGCCTGAGTTCAATCCCCGGTTCTGAAAAAAAAAAAAGAAAAAAGAAAAAAGAGTTATGATTTCAGATGTATACACTACATCTTGTCAAAACTATAAGTAGAAATAGCAAAACTCTGTAGTGAAGCGTGACAGCTGTTCCGTTGTTAGGACACAGGACTTTATGTGAAACAGTCCAGGATGGTTTCCTTTATTTGAAACTTCCTTACCCCAGCAACCTGTCGTTCATTTGTATCTTATTCAGAGCCAAAGGCATAATTGAACGCCATGGGTGCTTATAACTAGCTGCTCTTGCATTAGCTGAAATGGCCCTGAAAAGACTTGCTTCAGAAAAAATATGCAGATTCACCTCAGGTTCTATTAATAGAGGAAGAGAACCAGGGCAAAGCTCATGGTAGAGTGCTTGCTAGCATGTGTGAAGCCCAGCACCACAAAAACAGGAAAACAACAGTATAGAACTTCTGGTAGACATATATGTTGCTTTACACATTTTGCGTGATTTTTATGGCTTATTATACTTCTTAGCTACTTTTTCTTTATTTTTTTAAATGATGTGTATATACTAGTCACAAAATATTTGAACAGAGTAAAGTGTAAAAATGAAATATTTTGTCTCCCAGCCTTTTCCCCACAAATTTAATTTCTCTAGATGTCAGTGATAATACCCACAAGTTTTGCAATGTGTATGTAAACAGATATAAGCGTTTTTGCCTTTCAACCTAATATGGTATTATGCATTACTTTCAGTACTTTTTGAAGGTTTAGAATGGGGTATTCTGACCTGCCAGTCTGCATTATGTTTCCTGATATGGGCTAATGTGGTGTGTGGTTTTCTTCTTTCCCTTTTCAGAAACCACAGACAAGGGAGAGTCCCCTCCAACACTGTCTACATCTTCATCCTCTTCCCTCTCCTCACCCTCTTCCCCTTCACCTACTCTGGGCAGACAAAGGCCTGAGATTGGAACGTTTCTGAGAAAGAAGAAAACCAGCGACATCTACTTTGTGTCCCTCGTCTGGGCCATCATCGCTGTCCAGATCTGGTTGAACCTGTGGATTGTGCAGTTGCTGCCTGTGCCGATCGCAGGTCACTGTCTGGTCTCATTTACCTCCTGTCTTCAAAGATTTTTTATTTTTACTTTTAGATTTTAATATTTGAATTTTATTATTTATAGAAAAATTATATATTTGCAATTAAGTTACTAAAAGCATTCTGGAAATTTTATTATGACTCTTCAATATCTTACCTTTAAGCTGTGCTGATAGAGCATATCTGTAATCCCAGCACTTTGGGGAGCTGAGGCAGGGGCAGCTCATGTTTGAGCCTAGCCAGGACAACTTAGCAAGACTATCGTAAAATAAAAAATAATTTTAAAAGGGCTAGAGATATAGGTCAGTGAGATAGCTGTGAGTTCATTCTCCAGTGCAGAAAGAAAGTATCCACTTGTAAGCTTTAAGATGTATTTAGCCTCCTATAATTTCATATGGAGTTGAGGTTGATAGCTCCACATATAGGTGACTGCCCTCATCCATGATCCTCTGATGGAGAATGTTTGCAGTATGGTCTGGGTTTTGAGATTTATGATGGAACTTTGAGAGCTGCTCTTGGGGAAGCACCTTTAACATTACAGTTTAAAAAAAATTATGTATTTTTATTTATTTATTTTATTTATTTTTTATAACATTGCGTTTTTAATCCAAAGCAGATGTAGGCTTTGTGATATATGTATGTAAAGTCTTGAATTGTGTTTGTCAGAATAATTATATTACACACACACACACACACACACATATATACCCTGTGTACTATCAAGGGAATCATGGTTTTCCATAAATTATTCAGTCAGTTCCTTGTACCATAATACTGTACCGTGACTTTTTAAGGCCTCCTCTATTATGTTGAGTTTTGCAGAAGCTGTCTTCTAAGGCTGGCAAGAATGAGATCTATGGGGCCGGGAAGATGGCTCAGTGGAATACATGCTTCCCTGGCAAGTGCAGGAGCCTGAGTTCAATCCCCAGTTCCACAAAAAAAAAAAAAAAAGAATGAGGTCTGACCCAGGTGTCTTATAGGGGCAGTTGATTTTCATACTTCCCAGTTATTTGTACTTGCTTCTTATTGCAGTCAAGTCGGTGCCAAACACATCAAGATTTCAGTGGAAAAAAAAAAAAGCTTTTTAGGGCCAGGGAGATGGCTCAGTAGAATAAGCGCTCCCCTGAGAAGCACAAGGGCTTGAGTTCAATCCCCAGTTCCGCCAAAAAAAAAAAAAGAAAAAACTTCAGTGGAGGCTGTAAATCCTGCCATCTACATACCTTCTAAATTTACTGGTCCTTATCTCCTGTGTCAGGAATTTTCATGATTTAATTATAATTTGATTTCTTATAATTTGATTTCTTTGGAGACATGTTTTCTACCATGTGAGCAAGTCTAAACATTTTTGCCCGTTTACTTTTTACATCATTAGTTTTCAACACACAGTACTGGTTAAATTGGCCAGTTAATTAGCCATCATTTTAAACATTTACTTTGACTAGAGCACTGTATAGTGCCTGTCCGCAGGGAACATACAGTGTAAGTGGTTAAGTTGTACTGCTGCTTACAAACAGAGCTTCTGGCAGGCATTTGTAACAAGAGCGTTGTAATGAAGCAAGTCACAGAAACACCATGGCCATGCTTTTGTTAGGGAGCTTACAGAAATCAAATTCTTCTGTATTGTTTTTGCCAGATGATTTCTTCATGCTGGCAAATCATGTACTGGTTTCTGTGGGAATTCACTTTTCTTTAAAGTTGGTTAGCAGGAGTTAAGGTGCTCCTAGTCTTATCATAACCACTGGTCAACAAAGGAATTTGACTTGGCTTTGGGAAGACAGACTATGAACAAGGTGACCCTGAAATGCCTTCTCTAGCCCTTAATACCATGGCTTCTTCTAGAAACCTAAGAGCTTTTTTAGGGATTTAAAAATGCCAATGCAGGAATTATTTTACTGGGAAATAATACTGAGCTTAGGATTCAAGATAGTAAACAAATAAACCTGAAGGTTATAAAGTCAAGGTTAAGGATGCAAATTCCTGGAGTTGGAGGTTTTGTAATGGGTGTGACCAATGATCTTGGTCCAAACTCCAAATAGATCCACAACCCTTTCCTGACTCCTCCACCTTCTTGGTGGACTTTAAAGATTTTTTTAAAAAATTCTTTTTCTTTTTTTTTTTTAATGTATTTGGTATAGGGTCTCACTAAGTAGCTTGGACTTGTAGTGATTCTCCTGTTTTCAGCCTCCCCAGCGCTGGGATGGCAGCTGTGCGCCACCATGCCCAGTCTCTGGATGGCTCGGTGCGCCTGGAGTCGGGGCCTGCGTGGCCTGTGGTGCCAGGGATCAAACCCGGTCCCTGTGCTTGCCTAACCAAACATTTTGTTTGCTGAGCTATCTTGCCGGCCCCTTAGTGGACTTTACTAGGACTCTGAAGCCCTACTTGATGGGCTACTACAACTGCCCACCTCCAGGGGGAGACATCTTCATTGTGGTCTTATGCCACCTATTGTTCTCTTTGGCTTCTCTAGCCTGTTTTTCTTTTCGATGTGCACAGCTAGAGGTCTCGTCTTACCTGCTATCTGATGCTTTTCCTTGTTCCTTGGGTCCCTGTTTAGGCACCTAATGCCGAATCCTGTGCAACTCTCAAAGTTCAAGGGGTGAGGAAGGTGAGAGGATAAAGAAGGAAAAACTGAGGCCAGATGGAGCCCTTGTCTTCTGATGGGAAACGAAATGGAGCAGGAGGGCAGGAGGGGCAGGGGAGGAGGAGGAGGGTGTTTGTACAGTAGGGAGGTTGAATGTCACATGAAACCCTTCCACCTAATACAGCTTGCCTCTGGGCCCAGTGTTCTCCAGACTAGAGCAGCTTGTTCGTGTGACTTGCCTCAGGACTGGCCTTGCTCTCGCCCCATTTCCTGGTTGGTCTCTAGCTGCAGCTGCTCCCCTCAGTCTTGCAGCCTGGCCCTGACTTTGTGCTGTCCCACAGTGCACAGCCTCGGGGACCCTTGGAGCAGTCCTCTTGCACTTTGCTGGCTTCTGTGCTGTATCCCAGTCTGTTGAGATGACAAAGCAGTATCAAGCAAAGAAGTGGGAACATGGCTGGAAATGAGGCCTCGAAGTGGTGTCAAACATGACACTCTTCTGGCCTCAAAATGTCAAGTATCTGAGGAAAAGAACAAAATTTGGGAAGACCAGCTGTAGTAGCCAAGGAGATTAGGAAATGCCAAGGGTTAGTTTTCTTTACTCTGGAAGGGGAAATGCTTGAGGGCCCTTGTGTCACTGACACTGTCATGCTGAGAGTATGTTATGCTTGTGGGGGCTGTCAAGCCATCCCTGCCTGCTCCAGGGTTTCAGACTCCACAAAGAAGACAGTTCCTGGGTAGTGGGCATGGTGTGAGAAGTAGCAGGCCAGTTCCAGCCTGAGTTCCTCCCTTGTTTCCCTTTATGACAGCAGTCTTTATTTTAATACTATTTTTAATATTTTGCCAAGGAAATTAAGACACCTTTTTATGTTATGCCTTTCCAATCTGTATTTTGTGTGTATACATTACGTATATATAGATCTATGTCTTTCCTTTATAGTCTGGATAATCAAGAAGCTTGTGATTCACTTTGGCGTTGTGGACTTCCTGGAGAAGCGCTGCCGCGTGTGGTGGCAGGTAATCGAGCAATTCCTGAAGGAGCGGCAGGAGGCTTTAGCGCCGTGGCCAATCATTGGGCTGGGGAAATTCCTGTTAAAAGTTGACAGCAAGGTATTGAAGTTTTTCAGTTGGGTATTTTTAAGAATTTGGGCTGCTTTAACAGAGTTCATGTGTTTTTGAGATATTTCACTCTGTAGTAAATAGTGTTTGTTTTGTGTATGTTGATAATACATTTAATATCTAGTTTTATGATGAAATTTTGAAGTTTAGAATTAAGGGTTCACATAAGATGGGATGTTCTCAACTTAAATAAGTATTGGGTGTTTTTCCTCTTAAAAATGGGAGAAAAGAATGTTATGGAACATTTATTTTGATTCCATTTTTATTAGGACCAAATTGAAATCCAGAGAGGTTAAGTGACTTGCCTGAAGTTTTCTACCTTGGTAGTGGTTCAGCTCCAGGAATGTTTTTGGAGTGATTTCTGTTTGTCAGATATTGTGCTAAGGTCAGTGAAAAGACCAGACGAACCACAGAAAACCAGATAAAGAAGCTGTGTTTAGTGGACAGGCGATCTGTGAAAACCCACAGGTTTAGTGGTTAGGATCTGGTGTCAGGTCCTTGTTCAGCTGCTTGCCAGCTGCCTTGCAACCTTGGGGAGGTGGCGTACCTTTTCTGTGTCTTAGTTTCCTTGTCAGTGAGGTGAGTATCCGGGCACCTGCCTCACAGGATGATGGTGCGAGTGAAGTGAGGGAGTCCAGTAATATCTCTGCATTAATGCCTGGTATGCAGCAAGCACCGGAAGGTGTTAGCTGTTATAGTTTAGGAAAAGTACATACGGAGTACAGCAGGAGCACTAAACAGGAAGTGACTTTGGTGGATAAGGCACTGGAAAGGGGATTTTTTTTTCCAGAACCAGGGATTGAACTCAGGCCCTTGTGCTTGCCAGGCAAGCACTTATTCTACTGAGCTATCTCCCTGGCCCCTGGAAAGGGCATTTTGCAGAGGAAGTGGTACCCAGGCAGAGTGTAGTGAGGAGTGTATTAGTCAGATATGGCAAGATCAATAGGTGGGCAGTGCAGAGGCGGAAGTGCTATGCTTGTGGACACGCAGGTTATTTTAACTTTTTGGATTATTAAAGCTTGTTATTTCAATCATTGTTTATTTCTGAAGGTGTACTAGATTATCTTGATTTAAAAATTTTGTTAATGCTTTATGATTTTCTCCCTTGATTTTCCTGACAGTTTCCTTCTCACGCTCAGTGACCTTCTTTTCTTTTCATACTATTATTGCATTCTCTAATGATATTCCACTGTTCTTATCTTGTCTTTCTCACCCCCTGTCCTCAAGCTCTGGCACTGGCTAAATAAGAAGGTAAATGAGCACACAGATGTTTGGTTTTTACTACTGAATTCTCTAACCTGCTTCTCCTGCCCCCAGGATCTCCCTTTGTACTGTTTCCCTATGTCAAATTAAGCTTTTTTTTTTTTTTTTCTTCCTGAAGTTCTAATTATAAGCTATGGAAGGTTGTGAAAGAAAATATTGTCAGAGTATAATTGGCTAAAACCTCGACAGAACCTATTTAGGATACAAATAGTATCTCCTTGCTCAAGTGTTCGTGAGTTCTGTTGCATGGTCCTTCTGTCCACTGTAATGCTTTCCTGCCTTTTCTGCTCAGTAAGGAGGCTGTTAATCTCCTCTGCTGTGTGAAAGCAGAGGTAGGTGATAGTTACTTGGAAAGAAAACTTGTTTTCTATAAATGACACACATTTTTAAAACTGATGGATGTGAAATATTTGTGTGATTCTGTTTGTTTGCATCTCTTTTAAAATAAGTGGTATTGCAGAAGTATACTGTTAGCTTAAAGATTGTAGTCATGCCTGTGACATCAGATATCATGTGTTTTTCAAGGCACAAGGTTTTTGAAATTTCTGGTAGCAGGTTCCCATGATTGACATAGAGTTGTAGGAGGAACATTTCAGACGACTTTAGGAAGGCTGAGCCAGATGCATGAGGAATGCTGGACCTTTGCTGTAAAGTCCACGTACAGTAGCGTTTGAATTAATGTCAGTGTGTCCTTAGGACAGGAAGGCATGCCATCATTTACATATATTGCATTTAAACATTAAAAAAAAAAAACAAAAACTATAAAAGTCTTCAGTAAAAACATAACAGACCTTAAGAAAGATGTGTGTTTTTTTGGTACTTGGGACTAAATCCAAGATCTTTGGACTGAACCAAATCCCTGGGCCTTTTTTTATTTTGAGACAAAGTCTTGCCAAATTGCCCAGGCTTAAATTTGGATTCTTGTCTCAGCCTCTGAGTGTTGGGATTATGGGTGTGGACCAGCATTCCAGGCTGAGACATGGTACTTCTTGAAAATAAATCAGAATCAGATGTGTGTGTGTGTGTGTGTGTGTGTGTGTGTGTGTGTAATTGAACTTAGGACCTCACATCTGTCAGACAGGTGCTGAGCCACTGAGCTAAATCCTCAGCCCCTTTGTTAGTACCAGGAATCAAACTCAGAACCTTACATTAGTCAGGCAGGTGCTTATGCCACTGAGCTATATCTATCTTTAGAGTTTTCTTTCTTTTTTAAAAAAAAATTTATGTATTTGGTATGGGGTCTCACTATGCAGCTCGGACTTGAAATGATCCTCCTTTTTCAGCCTCCCTAGCACTAGGATTATAGGAATGCGCCACCATGCCCAGTTTTGGTGGCGGGCTCAGTGCACCTGGAGCCAGGGCTAGAGTAACATGTGGTACCGGGGATCAAACCCAGGTCCTTGCCCTTGCATAGGTGGGCACTTCGACCATAGAGCTGTGTATGCAGCCCCAGACTTTTTTTTTTTTTTTTTTTTTTTTTTTTTTTTTTTTTTGAGACAGTTTGATTGCTGGGCCTGAACTTGCAGTGATTTTCCTCCTGCCTTCTGAATGCTGGAATTACATGTGTGTGTCACCACACCTGGCTGGAAACATACTTTGGAAGAGAGTTAGGCTTGCTTTCTTTTTCTTCTGTTGAAGTGGAGGAAAGAGGAGACTTGAAAATTCCTGAAGTTTAAATTTTGAGTTGAAAATAAGTGGTGTGTTCTGTCCAGCACTCTCCACTGTTTCCCCATCCACATACACATGGGTGTATATACTTCTCTTCCCTGTAGGACTCATATGAGTAATTAAGTTTCATCTTTGGCAAATTATGTACAAAAATAAGTCGCACAGAGCAAAGTAGATGATTTTGTATGTTTCTCTCATTTGTGTGTGTTGAAATGAAATTGTCCTCAAGATAGGAAGGAGAATGAATTCAGGAGGTTCAGATTGATCCCTCCTTACTTTGACTGAATGAGTTAGATGACCTGATTTGTGAGCCTCATTTGTAGCTGGATACTTGAGGTGATTTCATATTCCTAAAAGATGAAGTAACATTTTTTTTTTTGTAGTGCTTTGAAGCACATATAAAACTTTGGTGTAGTGTAGGAGTAACTGCTTGAAATTCTGAGTGTTTCCGGAAAGCATATAAATAAGTTGAGAGCTATTTTATTACATTCAAATCTGGGTCAAAAAGACTTGCGAAGTTGGGTAATTTACGTTGGTCATGTAAAACATTCAAGTGGAGAGAATTAGGAAATCGGTCATAAGAGTACACATCTTACGTTTCATTGAAATCGAACCCTTCTCAGGCCTTATTTTATTTATTCAGAGTAGTTGCACTAAGACTCAACTAGCATTTGTTTAAAAAAATAACACAGGGCTGGAGAGATGGCTCAGTGGTCTAAAGCACCTACTTAGAACAAGCTTGGCAAAGCATCAGGGACCGCGGTTCAATCCCCCAGCACCACATGCCAGCCAGCCCCGCCCCCTGGTGGGCTGAGCTGGCCACACACACACCACACACACACACCACACACACTCTCTCTCTCTCTCTCTCTCTCTCTCTCTCTCTCTCAAATAAATAAAATTAAAAAAAAATAACACAATACAACAACTTGTCGGCCTAGAATAGGGAACTAAAAGAGAAACTCAGTAGAGTGATACTTTTTTTTTGCTTTTGATACTTTCTCTTTGCTTTTTGAGATGGTGCTCTTACTTTGTTGTCTAGGCTGGCTTTGAACCTGGAATCCTTCTGCCTCTTCCTCCCATGTGGCTGGGATGATAGGCAAGAGCCACTGTGCCTAACATGCACCTGGCATGAATGTTGCTTTCATAATCGCTTGATGAGTGGCCAGCCTAACACTCTTAGCATGATTTGGTTACAGTGATAAATGTACTGACCTCTGTAAGCTTATGTGTGCCCTTCATTCACATTGGGAGCATTTCGTATGTTTTAAAGTTACTCCCTTCCCTTTAAAAAAATAAAAGTTACTCGATTGTAGCCTGGAAAGAGTGGGGAATGTAGTAGAGACCAGGTAGGGGCAGCGGGTGGTGTGCTTTCTTGCATACAGCAAAACATGGGACAGCTTCCAGGGTGACACCTCTGGCATTTTTCATTGGGAATTCTTTTCTCTGGTCCCCTTCTTTGTGTCTCTCTCCATGTCTCTGAGTTTGTTTCTTTGTAGGTTTGTTACCTTCATTTTAGAGGCTTTGTTCTTCCTTTCTTGCCTGCCTGTGTTTTATCTTCTGTATTGGTCCTTAGTTTTATGTAATCCCCACCCCCATCTTTTTTCTCTTCTCTTGACTTTCTCTATTCTTTTTTATTCTTTTGATTTTTGTTTTTTGGTTCTGAGGATTGAACACAGGCTCTTGGGCATGCTACGCAAGTGCTGTAGCACCTATTTTTGATTTTGTTTTGACAGAGTCTCACGAAGTTGCCCAGGCTGGCCTCAAACTTGGGTATCCTCCTGCTTTTGCATGCCAAGGAGCTGGATTCCAGGTGTAGGACACATACCAGCTCTACTGTGTGGCTCTGAACTCACTCTGTGGCTCAGGTTGGCCTCGAATTTATAGCGGTCCTCCTGAGTGCTGGGATTGCAGGCATGTGCCACCGTGCCTGACACTTGCTCTTGATTTTTGAATAGATTTTTTTTCTTTCTTTTTTTTTATTGTCCCCTTTCTCATCCTGTTCCCAGCTTATGTTTTAGCTACCCACAGTGTGAATTCAAGCAAGCAATTTTAGCTTATGTACTGAGTATCTTTTTTTTTTTTCTTTTGGCAGAACTGGGGATTGAATTCAGGCCCTTGCACTTGCCAAGGAAGTGCTTATTCTACTGAGCCATCCCCCCAGCCCCTGCACTGAGTGTCTTACATGAGTTTAATTTTTAACGACACATATGGTATCTCTTGGTGACCAGACGCCTAGGTATATGACAGGTCACATGGATGGAAGGGTCAGGTACCCTAAGCAAGTACATCATATATAATTCCTGACAAAATTGGATTGGGAAAAATTCTGTCCTAACTTCAACATACAGTTTCATTTTTTAATGTTGATGTATATAATATGCTCATGGATATTGCATGTTTATGTATTAAAACTACCCTTCATACTTTGTGTAGAGTTAGATCTTCATACTTTGCAAATAAAGTATCATTTCCTTTAAAAATATATTTCAGAGGGGCTGGGGAGATAGCTCAGTAGAATAAGCGCTTGCCTGGCAAGTGCAAGGGCCTGAGTTCAATCCCTGGTTCCGCCCCCCCCAAAAAAATATATATATATATGTTTATATATATATATTTTTTTTTCAGAGTATGACTTTTTAAAAAACAAATCAGAACCTTTTATGTTATTTTCAGAAATCATTATTTGTGCTTGCAAATCCAATCTTAATTCTGAAATTCTCTTATGCTTGTTTATTCAAATATGTAGTACTAATTGAGTGCTCACCATATGCCAGGTACAGTTAAGTTCTGGAGATACAAAGACGCGTGATGCCGTGCTAGCCCTTTCTCAGGATGAGGGCTCCAAAACCAGCTAACTGGGTGTTAGCTGGTTTCCTATTCTGAAGATTTTCATTTCATTGATTTTAGAAATACCTTCAAAATAAGACATCTGACCTTCCATATCTTAGAAACCTGTTATGCCTTCCTTTAATCTCTGCATTGACTGATGCTTTGGTAGCATGCACTGAAAATTAACTCTTCCGTTTGTTCTAATTGTTGAGATTATAGATGAACATCTTTGAGTTTACGATGGCTTTGGTTTCTTAATGACAGTGTCCTTCATGAGATAAGGGGACAGTGTGGACTGACAAGGATTGAATGGAATGTTTTTGAAATCATGGTAGTTTTAAAAAAGCAAATATTCTTTGATCATAGATGTTTAGGTTACTGCTTGAACAGCATAATTTAGATTGAAATTAATAACTTTGCAGTGCCTTAGCTCATGTTGGGATTGATGTGTGTAATGTGGTCTCTTAGTAACTGTTAATCTAATTAAATGCAGTTTCAAAATACTAAATGCTTTCCATGGTAGGAATTACAGAAATCTGTCAGAATTCTTATATATTCACAAAGCAGTTGTTTAAAATGTAGGGTTATTTGTGAAAGATGTACAGTCAGGATAGACTGTTACACAGCATGTTGGGATAGTATCATTTTAATTATTGATGAAGGGAATTGATTAATTACATTTGCTTAATTACAGTTATGTCATAATGCTTATTTTGTCAAAAGAGAAGCTTTACAAAAGCTTTTACAAAAGCTTTATTATGAAATATTTTACATATAAAAAGAGTTAAAGGACACCTGTTTGCCTATCCTCCGTTAGATAAAACTACCTGATTACCCATTTGTGTGCCTGCCTCCCAACAGCTGTGTCCTTCTCCAGGTGACAGCCTTAATGTACTATTTATCATTGCCCTAATATTTAATTTTTATTACCATTATCTTTTATAACCCTAATGAAATCAAAAGGTAAAACATTTTGAATGTAATTCAACTACGCGTTTCCAGTTGAAGCTGTATAATTTAGGACTCCCTTGTGTTGAAAAGGACTACGCTCCTTCCAGAGTCCTCCTGCTTGCCAACTGAGCACAACTTCATGACATCTTAGGTCAACTAGTGGATTGTCATTATTTTGTGTAGAATTTTTAGTGGGCTTTTACAATTTGAATTATAGATAGAGAACAGTATGAGAATTCAGACATTTAGTGATTGACTGCCTTAGGTGTGACAATAGTGAACTCCTCACAAAATAACCAAAGTAGTTAATACTAGTAGTTAATTCTCTGAAGTTGCTTATGGCTTTTACTGCTTTAACTAGAATGCCAATTTGCTTTGCAATGATGAATAGTCTATTTTGTCCTCATTATGTTTGGGTCTGTGCGTGTGTATCTGTGTTTATCAAGTTGTACTTTAAGGATAAGTAATGTTCTTTTTTATTTCTATGCAGATGATCATCTGGTTGGAGAAGATGTTAGATAAAATAATTAGCATTTTCATCATATTTTTGCTAGTAATAGGAACCCTTCTTTTAGCTCTTCTCCTGACTGCAAAGGTAATGTACAAGAATTATTCTGATAAATAATTTGTAATTGTTAGAATTAAAGTGTCATAAGTACACATAATAACTAAAGTACATATTTGTATATTACTAATTTTGCCATTAATTTGTTGATCTTCTTTTTAAATCTTTTTCATGTATTTTTTTGTCATCAATTTCTTAGGAGCAAATGCAGGTAAAAAAAAAATGAGGCTTTTTAAAACTATAATCATTATAAACTGATCTTACAATTCTAGATCTAGTGTCTTGTCCACTAGATTAGAACCTTTCCCTCCCTTTCCTCCTTTCCCCTTCCCTCCCTCCTCTCCTCTACCCCCTGCCCTCCCCTCCCATCCTCTCCTTTCTCCCTTCCCCCTCATCGTCCTTTTACTATCCCCTCACACCTACCAACTTGTAACCAAGTCTCACTGTGTTACCCAGGCTGGTCCCTAAAGCCTGTGCTTCAGAGTTCTTTCTGTCTCAGCCTCCTGAGTAGTTCAGACTGTAGGCTTTTACAACTTGTTTAGCTCCTTCTTGTCCTGTCTCCATGATCTTTGTGCTTGATACACCATAGATCTATATTTCTTGCTTCCCAGGTTACATTTCCTATCTTTTCATCTCATGAAAAATCATTCCCCAAAACACCGGAAAAATTTTGTTCCTACAGTAATATTTATCTTTTATTGACTTTAGCTTGATTTTGGCAATACTGGGAATCAAACCTCAAGCCTTGAACATTGTAGGCAAACGCTGTACCACTGAGCTGAACCCCTAAGTGGTGTATTTCACTCCTACTGTGTACTTATTTTATCTGAAATTTGCTGAACTCCACTCTCAGATTTTAGTGTGTTTTTAAAGAATTATAAAGGTGTTATATGGTATTATGGGTAATAGAATGTTTCTTGTAATTTTTTTTTTATTTTTTTAAATGTATTTAGTACAGGATGTTCAGGGTCTTACTAGGCAGATCAGACTTGTAGTGATCCGCCTGTTTAATCAAAGTCTCGGCCTGCCCTGGGGGCAGGGCTGGCCTGGCAATCCAGGGATTAACACCCCACCCCCCTGCATCTGTTTAAGCAGCAGGCGCTTTAATCCACTAGCTATCTGGCCAGCTCTGTTTCTTGTAATCTTATATTTTAGTATCAGTTACCAATGAAAAAAAACTAATGTGCTTCATTTTTCTAAGGAATTAGGTTATTTCTTATACCAAATTAGGTTGTTTCTTTTCCTTTTGGAAGCCAAATCCTCAGTGAGTCTCAACCCTTTTATATCCTCAAATTTTATGTTCTTGTTTGATTCTTTTCTTTTCTTTTCTTTTTTTTTTTTTTTTTTTTTTGTATTTTAGTAAGGGTCTGCAGGGTCCACAGGGTCTTACTATGTAGATCAAGCTCATAGTGATTCTCCTGTGTTCAGCCTCCCAAGTGCTGGGATTACAGGTGTGCGCCACCATGCCCAGTATCAACCTCTGTCTCAGTGTGCCCTGGGGTCAGGGCCTGCATGTAGGCCATGGGATCAAATCCCCAGCCTCTTTAATCTGCTGAGCTATTTGGCTGGTGCTTCTTGCTTGCTTCTAACGACCTGCTCTTCTGCCGTGGTGCAGCACTTGTCTGTTGAGTATTTCATGAACATGTAAATAAATATGAAAGCTGGATTTCCCCCTTCCTTTAATTTATTCAAACCATGTGATTTTAAGGAAAAATTGCAACACTCAGTTGTGGACATTATAATGTACTATTTATATATAGTATGTATGTGTACTGTATACCACTGCACAGAGGAGGAGGTTGGAAACTACTACTGTGTAGAATACAAAGTTTTGTGGATATAACCACTATTAGCTTGAGGTAAAATGTGATCAGTTAGAAATGTAAGGTGGGTGTGTAGTGTGCGCTTCTAGTCCCAGCATTCTGGGAGGCTGAGGCAAGAGGATCACAAGGTTGAGCTCCATCTAGGCAATTTAGTGACTCAGAGAGGCCCTGCCTCAGTCAGTCAGTTATCAGTAGAATTGAGTATGTAGCTCTGTGTGAGTCATCCCCTGTGTGTGTGGGGGGGAGGGGGGAATAGGGTTTTAGATAAGTTAAATATTAGCCACTAAATAGTGAAAAGTTTAGGAGAACTAAAATGGTAAAGTTAAAGAAATTTGTTGAACACAAAAGAAGACAAAGGAGGGAGATGGTAGGAGGCAACTAAACATTCCATTCAAAAGACGGAGATTGTCAGACTGAACATGAAAATAAAGTTTGTAAATTAAATGGTATCTATGAGTGACAAAAGATACGGTGTGATTATATTAATATCCTGCAGTTCTAGTTTAATGTTATTACTACAACAAACTAAGGACTTTTTGTAGTGTTATGCTGTGTTAAGATATAATTGTAGACTTACTCCTAACATAACTACTATATACTTAAGTATTCAGAATTAAAAGAAATAAAAAATAT